TTCAGGCGCTCTAGCCTGAAAGACCGGAGCAATGGCAGGCGCCTGCGAGCGTCTGCGAGGATGAATTCGCTGAATGAAGCTATGGAATCGACCTTGCTAAGGCAGACTGAGCAGATCAGTCGATCTTGCGATATCTCCCGTAAGCCGGATGCAGTGAGCGAGAGGCGAAGTAGGTCTCCTTTGGGCAGGTAGGATACCAAGGTTGCCAGGGTGTCGAAGTTGAGATCCATCAGCTGCGGCATATTGGCATAGGATAATCAGAGATGTCTCAAAACTGTTGGATAGGAATGTGGCGCGTGTGCTATACCATGACACGGATGTAGGGAGTCAGCCATAGCAAGAGGAATACGAAGCGTGTGGCGTACCGATAGGGGGAACGTACTGTAAGGTGCAACGCAAGTGGTGTATCCTGTAACGCAGGGGAAAATATAATAGTTGGAAAGAGAGAAAAGGAGCAATGCTTGCCTCTTATACTTGTGCGTTTTGGGTGCCACATCTGCGCTTAAGCGTAGCATTACCACGCCACACCAAGTGTGATGGCCACTGTGTTGTGGAGGCGTTGACGCGTTGACGACGTGGCCTCGATGTCAATGCAAGTGCAAGAAAGCGATGGAAATCGACCTTAGAGGGCTGCACCCACTGTTGAAAGGCGCCCGAAATTCCTGCTGGCCCGTGTTCATATGCGAGCCGGGAGGTGAGGTGCCGTAGAGCACGAAGCATTCTGTGAAAGAAATTACACATATATCTCAGTATCACCTTTGCTGTCTTGTTTGTCGCTCGGACGCCGCACGTCGGACGCGACAATGGGTCCCGCGTCTCCGAGTCGTCGTCAGCTATTACTTCACCGCCGTACTTTTAGGCGTCAGAGCATTAATGGCAAGGAAGAAGTCTGTAGACATGGTGGGCACGCGAGGCTCGTAGCGAGGGTCACGGCGTATGGAACGACTCACGACAGCACTCTTGCACTGAAGACGGTTGCGAGCGCGCTTCTCATTCCGGACAAAGCCGAGCCAATCCGGTTATGGATCTCTCTCAAGTAGGTATCTGCGCAACCTGGCTGCTTACTACTTTTAATCTTTGGGGGAAGGCATCACTTGATTGAAAAAAAGAGATTTAGTACAAGATGAACCGCGATGCAAGGGTTTCCATCATTATCCCAGATTTGTTTTCTGGACATGGCCCTGGGAGGATTCGGGATGCAGTTTAGTGGGAATTGCATCAGGGGCGAATCACATGCAAATATGCACACAACACATCAAATTCAATTTTACTTTGTCGAGGAATCAACTTTAGACTGCCTGATCAAACGCTCAGCCACAGAATTTCGGGGCGTTATCGAGCACTTGAAGGGTACCGGGTGACTATCAAGGACGACCGCTCTTAGAACTCAAGCTCTACTTCGGCGAGTGGTACGAACCTGGTCATGCCTGTTTGGTACTCGAGACTGACCTCCACTACGGTCCCATCAGCATTGAGCGCTTTAGTAATAGTGAAGCCAGCCAAAACAGAAGCGACGGCTGCCCATACAGAGAGGTTTGCAGCGTGCTGGCCTGCGCAAACACTTAATGGGAGTGAGCGAAGGTCATAACCACCGCTACCTAGAGTACGAAACACACCGTCTTCCCATTCCGAAGGCCGTCTGGGGGAAGTCGTTCTTGATGCTGCCATCGGGATTCAAGAACCTCTCGGGTTCGAAGCTTTCCGGATCTACGTAGACTCGCTCATCCATATGCATAGCCCTGCGAGGAGTAATAAGGATCGGGTTGGCATGTTTTGCTCACGACACCCTACCATATATTCATAACGACTGTCGTCCCTGCAGCACCGGACAGAGTCAGGAGCAGCTTACACGTTGTTCACTACTCACCTTTCGGTATGAAGAAGCCATCATATATATCGTCTTCTGTATTGGCGTGCGACACACCTGTGTCCAATTATGGTTCTCTAAGCTCCCATACCTAAGCAGCGGCACCTACCAAGTGGTACAACAGCCCGCCATCGAAGGACTTCCCTGAACACTGCCTCCACGTAGGGTAGTGAAGCCCTATCATCGAAAGAGGGAAGCCTTCCCGCCCCCACCACAGTATCAATCTCCTTCTGTGCCCGCTCCTGCGCAGCGGGGTTGAGAGCCATGGCAAGAAAGAAGTTGCTTATCGCAGAGGTCGTCTGAAGCTCAGTCAGACGATATGGTGTATTTCAAAATCTAGAGGACCGCTCACTGTATCCGCTCCAGCTGATTCAGAGTGTCTAGATCAGCATGAGAAACTTCAAGAAGGAAGATGAAAATTCACCGAAATAACCAGTACCCGAGACACGTTTTATAGCTTCCTCCCGTGAGTCGGTGTCATCGAAGGACATCCTGTTCATTAAGTCGTTCGTGAAGGACGCCGGTGCATTGCCTTGCTCCTATTGGTAAACAGCAGTGAGCTAATATTGATTAGGATTCAAAGTCAGCTTACTATGAGCGACTTGACGTGCTCAAAAGGAAGCTCCTGGATTTGCTTGAAGAGAGCTCGAGCAACACATGCATCAGTTTTGAATCCCATGCCGGGTAACCAGGAAGGCAGGTACTCCACTGGACAATAATTCAAGAGGACTGCTCAAGATCAGACAGGAACAGCGCACCAGCAGGGAAATGGTCGACAATTGCTGACCCCGGGAAGCCATACCCGCACATTAGCGATGCAGAATGTTCTACAAGCTCCACGAAGTGGTCGTAGACTTCTGGGATGTCGTACCCGTACACTATGCCGAGAACATTTCCTACTGCGAAGCTGAACAACCTATAAGCTACATTGCATGCTTAAAGAAGGGACATCACCACACCGTCGAATGCAGCTCATGAACTCTTCCTTTCGATCAAGGAGCTGTCTTAGCATGTTCACAGCTGCGCGCATAGTCCTGGGGGCATATTCCGCAACGTGATCGGCTCGGAACACCTGTTGGAAGAGTCTTCTCTCACGACGCCAATAAGGCCCATACTTCACAAATCCAAAGTTGAAAGTCGCGCCGACCCTAGTGCCCATGAGTTCCATATACAGTGAAGTATACCTCCGCATGCGACGCACGCACATATGCATGCCACGAAACAAAGGCCGATCGGAGTATATATTGGAACGCTTTTCGAGGAGATCACGGGCCACTGCGCCGGAATTGACGATGATGATGTGCTCATTGAATATACGTATATGCACCAGATCTCCTGCGTACCACGCAAGTCAGGAGGGGTATGGACCAGCTACGACACATATACGGACCGTATTGCTTGCCCCATTGTCCATACAAGTGCCACGGTGTTTTAGAGGGAATCTGGAAGTAATTCCCGAAGAAAGGCCATGGCTTTGGCCCAGGTGGATACGGCAGGCTGAGCGGATTTGCTGCCCTCAGACGCCGATGCCTTCGCACACAGTATGCAAGGAGGAAAATCACGACGAGATATATACCTGTAGCAATAAACATTAGCTCAGTTCAACGAGACTAGTGGCAGATAAGCAAGAGAATGGGAGTCTGGAGGAGCGATTTATAGTCCCCTGCGAACCTGATCTCTCTCGCAGGGCAATGGATATTCCTAGAGTTGATTTCCGCATGGAGCGCGTACAGAGCGTTTACTAGTAGTCTAATGGACGTAGAAGCACCCATGACCCACCAAGAGCGATCGAACAGTGACGAAAATCTGAGGACATATGGCGAGACCTTTCACTCCTGTCACGTCCCTGGGAGCCTGGCAGCTAATTTCAGAACGATAGACGCACCTCATACGTTTACTGCTGGTGCGCCTGCCAATCAATACCGCCGCCACTCCACTTTTGTCGGGGTAAGCTGGGCGCTAATGCGTTCAATTGCCCTCGAACGCTTTTCAAGCCGACATCTCACCTTTTACGGCCGTTTTGTGGTTGTTTTGCTTTGGAGCACCTTTTACAGCAGGAATTTGAGGGTATATATCGCTCTGCAATCAGCTGGGACGTCATAGATAGCGAGCTTATATATGCGAACATCTTTATAACTATAGACGTACCATGAGTGGCATGCGGAGTGCTCGGTACGTTCAAATGCCAGAAGATCAGATGACAAGGACTGGGAACCGCATATCAGCTAGAAGGAAACCCTCTCATCAGCAAGAGTCGACGGAGGTAACGCACGCGGCGAACACGAACTTTGAGCGTGACTAAGGATGTCGCTTCAGGCCTGACTCTGCTACGCCTCCAGGGCGGATCATCGATCAATTACAAAGTATTGGTCGGGAAAGTACTGTTGAACTTACAGAAGAGGTCTGTAGATACACTTGACTCCTTCGAGTGAGTCTTCAGTCAGTTTATATCCCATTGTAAGCAGCGAACGCCACATCAGCGCGGCAGCATTTCTCAGTGCACAGGAACCTCCTGACACACTAACCTCGATTCACTCCCACAGAAGTGATACCGGTCTTACAACCGCTCCGGAAATACGCGCAGCTTAATTGAACCAGGCAGAACATTCTCGATTCGAAATGCAATGTACATTCCCCCGGGGTCAGCAAGGCATGGGCTCCTGGAAGTCTCCTCAGGCTTCACAGCTGGCAGGGCGTCTGCGAGCAGCTGCAAGCGCACGTGTACCACCCGTCGCCACATGGGGGGATGGGACAAATAATGGCGGCTTCAGCTGTCGGAAGAGCAGCTCCATGGCTCGCGAGAAGTACGGCGAGCAGCATTACGACGGACGCGGAGAGTTCCATGGTAGGCTGCCACGGCTCCCTTTCATCAGTGAGAGTCGACCGAGTCTAGACATCCTACGTACCACAGAGCTCGTGAAAGGTAACAATGCAACCGGAATATCGGTCAAGAGGTATATATACCCAGGTTCAGCGTTAACGTCACATCAGCGCAGTCTGAATCCGACGGGAATGGGGCCCACGAACTGTTGGAGACATCCAAATCCTAATCGAAGAGCGGCAAACGGCAGCGAGCTTGAGGAGCAGCGCAATCCCATGGTCCCGTCGGGAGATGATGTAGCACTTGACAGGAGCCTCTCGACCCGTCAGAGTGTTAGGCAGGACTGGCTATTGGATACTAAGACGAGCGATCCGAAGAGAGGGGAGCCTACATCCAAGTTAGCGCCAACGACCCGGCACAACATTGGCTCGAACCTTTGCGCGTTCAGCCGAGCGCCGATCCGACTGGTGAACCGTCTGTATTCCTTGACAAGTCCTGGCAAGCGTTGTCCGCGAGGGACGATGGGTAGGTGAGGCCAAAATTTGTAGTTACTCCTCGGGTGCAGCGACTGAGGGAAGGTAGAGCGCTTTGTGGTCACTTGGCGTCTCCCTTAGGTGCTGTCTCTGAGGGAGAGGCGAAGTGAGCAGATTGCGATGTATCGAGATGCCGGATGGACTCGACGGCAAATCAAGATGTCTTCAGAGCGATGGTGATGCGGTTGGGTTACTGTGGTACGCAATGCTAACTGTCTGCGAGACCTCTGGGCGACAGAATCTGGAAAAATATCATAGACAATACACATTGGCAAGATTAGTATACATGTCAATCAGAGATGTACATCCTCGAGAGCAGAAAAATCACCATAGTCCCCAGCTAAGGCCAAGCCAGTCAACAAGTGTCGACAACACACCAGTTTTCTCGCCTGGAAGCCTACACTGCTCCACTTCTTCCGCCGTCACGTTCTTCCAAACGTCTACGGGTATCCAACCAATATACGCTCTATCTCCAAATCCCCCAATCCAATATACCCCGTTCACAACGAGCCTCACCCACCGCGACTCGTGGATGCGATTTCCGGGCAGCCAGAGCCGCGCATCCCGATGGTGCCGCACGAAACAACTCGCCACACCACCCTTCTCGACATCCTCGTCTGACAGATCCTCGAGGTACCCCACGAGCGAGAACCGCGGCAGCGCAGCGGGGCTGTAGGACCGCACATGCGCATCGGGCGGTACCCACCGCATCGAGAGCGTCACGTTCGACCCCGCACGCGCGTTCTTGAAGCTCGTCGCGATGTCGACCGCGAGGATAGTCGGGTTGCCTGCGGCGGGCTCGCAGTCGGCAAAGTAATCCATCAGCCCGATGGGGGCGCCTTCGAGGCCGGCGGGACGGTTCTCCAGTGGCGCGGCGGACGGCTCGGACGAGGGGAAGACGGTGCTGAGGGTGCCGATGGTGGTAAGGTGCATGATGCGCCGGCCTTGCACGGCCGACTCGTGGACTGTCGGTATCCGGAGCGGCGCGGTGTCGCCGCCGATGGTATTGGCATCGAGTGGGCTGAAGATCGACTGAGGTGTTAGGGATGTGCTTAAGGTGCATGATGCCACGAGAGCGACGAGAAACAATACGGAGCGCACTGAGAGCGTCATATCTGAATATCTTGGGCACCAGCAGCGGCCGGTAAGATGACACTCTAGAACGGCAGCGACAGCCTTCAGCGATCCTTGAGTAGTGTCGGAATGAGCAGGCCCTCTGCTTTCGGTAATTGCCTCGGGTCATGTCTGAGCCGACTCGGTTGACTCGAATTCAGAGTTCCACCTCTGGCCGGGCTGCCTCGAGG